ACATTATTTTCAAAAACTACAGCAAAAGGTATACTCCACCTCACAGGAAATAAAAAAGCATCCGACTTCTTTGAGTTAATCGACAATTTTTTCGATACTATGAATAGTACCAAAACATACCCTCCTTCAAATAAAATACTTAAAGCAGAATTTGGATTAAATGAACATCATGAAAACAAATTCAAGTTTTGGAATTAATGAAGAAAGTCATTGGTGGATTAAGAGTTCAGGGAAAAGCCAACTTACTGCCTTTCCAAAAAGGAATAATAATTTCAATAAATTCTCTTTTTGGCCTACACTAGGATTTGAAATCATCGTATGATGCTAAATATATTTTAACCTCTAGATTAACCCAGGATGCACTTGAAAGTCTCTTTAGTCAGATTCGAGGGCTTGTTAGGTTTAATCACCACCCATCACCTAGTGAAGTTATACGCCGCTTAAAGCAATTAATACTCGCTATTAAGCTGCTAAATTTATCTTCAAAAGTATGCATGACTAAAGAAAGCAGAAATATTGATTCATATTTAACATCCGAAATATTTGAAAGGGCTTTGAAAACTGAGGGGGAGATGCTTTTCCATTAAATACTATTGATGATTTGGATTTGGATTTCATAGATAAACCTTCTCCTATGGCTTGGGAATTAGAATTGAATTCCGATAGACAATTTTCGACAGCCGAAAAAGAAGCATTAACATATGTTGCAGGTTATATTGCCTATCGTGTGCGAGACAAAGACCCATCATTGGGAACAATATCTAAAAATAGTGCTGATGAACCAATATTTAATTCAGAATGGATTAAATTATTGTCCTTAGGAGGTTTGACTACACCTTCTCATTCATGGATGAATACAGTTTATGAGTTCGAAAACATATTTTGTGCAGTTCATGGTACAACTTACTATAAAGGGAAGCATGTAATTGGCTCTTTAATTAATAAACTGGAGAAACATTATCATGAAGTTAACAGAGAAGCAATTCGTTTATTTTGCAGAGTGAGAACTTTTATTAGAATACGTTTCTTAAATAGAAATGCATATGTTTTTTCCCAAAGAAAAGCAACCCAAAAGGCAAAAAAAAAATAGATTGCTTCGAATGTGGCAGCCAATAAATAATGTTTCAACAACTTGTAGTTGCATTGCGACTGTACAAGTAAGCATATATAATATGTTTTGATTTGAAATATTTCTAGACGACATTGTAGAAGTTAATAGCGTAAAGCATATTTCAAATGAGAACTAATTCTGTTAAGTTATTGTTACAGTTATTTTTATTGTATCCTCTGTTATTATTGATTCGATTTTGTGCTAGCTTAGCATTCTAGATAAAATATATATAAAGTATAAATTATGTATTATTGTAAATGATAAATATAACATAAAGTAATTGGCATAAGAAGACCTGCCCCCTCAACCCCCACTTTTGAAAATAATTATTTTAGGTCCTGTGAGTAAAGTTGTTTTGTCTAAATTAAGATAACAATCTTACATGTATTTATTTAAATGAAATATTGATGTAAGCCTAAGTTACAAAATTATTTTAAAAAAATATATGTTGTTATATTGAATCGGGAGAAAAATATGCCAATGTAAAATTTACAATTAGACTGAAACTCAAACTTAGATTAGCAGAAATTTTGCCATATATGTTTAAATATACATGTTTAAAACTATGCCAATTTAAGGTTTTTTTTTTTTATTAATTTTAAATAGCTGTTATTATAGTTATTTTAGAAGCAGTAGTACAGTTCTCTTAGTTAACATGCAGATAAAGAAATGATTAGAAACAAACAGGCATTTAAAGAAAAAAAAATCCCTGCAAATAAAAAAAGGAACTTAATGCTAAGAGTAGCGCATTTTATCTATTATTTTAAAATTGAGTAAGTACTATTAAATTTTTTAATGTTCAGTGTAAAATGCATACTGCAGTAACATTGTCTCTTCCAAATTATAGCTATCTTTCACACACAGCTCATTTTAAACGCTGGTTCTTCAAATTTAAAACGCTAATTTCTATGTAGTCAATTGCATCTCCGCGCTCAGTGGCATCATTGCTACGTCATCACTCCCCGCTGCCTGTTTCAGGGGGAACCGCTCTATGAGCTAGCCCTTCTCTTTAGTCCTGTAAATAGTCCTGGGTCTACACACACGTGTACGCTTACGTATTTGCCATACAAGATTTGCATTTTTTATCTAGAAGCAGTGGTTTTTCCTTCAGTTCAGCTCTTTTCATGCAATTCGATAAAATATGCAAGTTCTCTTAATTTATTTCACTAGTGTACTTGCACAATAGAATGATTTATATCTTCTTTGAATAGCAGTGCATAAGCCTAAAAGTGCTGTTGGTAATGTGTTAGTCCAAGACAGGTTGATGTGAGTTTTTAATGCTCTGTGGAGGCGCTCAATTATGTCATTATACGAGGGGTGGTAGGCAGTGATATGTTGTAAATTGATGCCACAGATTTGGACATAGCTCGTAATGTGTCTCATTTAAATTGGGATCCACGATAACTAATGAGTTTGCTTGGAGTTCCTAAACGCGCAGTCAAATTGCCATAAAAGTCTGTTGCGACATTATCAGCTGAAATACTTTCTAAAGGAATTACTTCCATTCAATTCGAAAATCTACCAATGCAAATTAGACAGTAACTATTCCCTTTGGATGTGGGAAGTGGTCATATGAGATCCATATGGATTGCAAAAAAATCTTCCTGCTGGTACTTCTAACTCACCTAATTTTGTTTTGGTATGCCGGCTGATTTTAGCTGTTTTGGTAAAACATTTTGGTAGTAATTAAAAGTATTTTAGTAATAATAATTTTAGTATAAGCATAAAAAATTACACTTAACTTTCTTAATAATAATCTTGTATGCTGTGGTTATACTTTGAACTAAGAATATACATATAATCTTATGCCTTGCACTTTTTTCATTCACAGCGCATTTCCTTAGGTTTTCATATTTTGCAATTACGCTGCATGTATCAAGCGTTTCTTCCTGTTGCTTTCTTTAATGCTTTTTAATGGAAAATATATGGTAGTTAAATGGAAACGTTCTCTTTCACTGTTCTAACTGTTGGTGGATCTTCGGCTCAGTTGCTTTAAAATTTGGTATTGAAATGATAATTTTTTTTTTAAATTTTTTTTTAGCTTTATTATATAAGAAAGTATAAAATATGCTGAAATGAAAAGGAGACCTCAGCTGTAGCGGCATTGTATCAAATCCCAGTGAGCTGATGTGTTAGCCGATAAGATGGTGTAGTGGTATTCCCAGTTGCACATGTGTATGGAACGGCTTCCCATCAATATCCTCCCTTCTGGAGAATTGTCTCTATAGTTCTTTACATGATGGATTCCTCCAAATGAGCATAAAGAGCAGTTATCCAATTTTTTCTCGCAGAAGGGGAGCATGCTTCACAAATTTATCTCAGTATGAAAGACGTGTACGGAAAGTAGTGCCTTGCGCGGTGCACCATAATCCGGTGGTATCAGTCTTATAAGGCTGGATACGAAAACATCAAGGACTTGCCACGCACCGGGCAGGCGCGCGTTATTACCAACAGTGCCAGGATTTGGCTGTGGAAAGCTCATATGGCAGAGTCGTCGGACCACCGCACGTGGAATTACTGTTGAACTGTCGATAGGCAAAGGAACTGTGCATCACATAATCCGCAAAATGCTTGATTATGACAAAGTTTGTGCACAGTGTGTGTCCAAGCATCTGTCAGAGCATCAGAAGAAGACAATTATGGATGTTGGCCTATCCCATCTGTTGAGATACGCGGAGCAAAGATTGGATTTCGTTGCTAAGATTGTGGCATGTGATGAAACTTTGTGTCACTACTTCGACCGTGCCAGCAAACGGATGAGCATGGCTTGGCGGCATCCAAGCTCCCCTCATCCAAAAAAATTCCACTCTGACCAGTAGACCGGAAAAGTGATATTCAGTTTCTTTTCGGTGAAGAAGGACCTCTTCTCATCGACTGGCTACAACAGGGTGCAAACGTTAACGCTAAGCAATATTGCAACACGTTGCTGAGGGTCAAACAGACCATTAAGAATAAGTGCTGGGGCAAGTTCTCGAATACGATAGTGCTTCTTCAGGACAACGATAGGTCACATGTTGCCAAGAAGACTCTCGAGCTCCTTTGAATATTTCAATGACAGACCTTACAGCCCCGATATTTCCCCATGTCTTTCAACATCTTCGGACCCTTAAAAAATCTCTGAAAAGACAGAGGTTCACCTGTGACAGGGGAGTACAGGCACCATGGAAAACTGGATCCAGCAGCAACCGAGGAGTTTATACACTGAAGCCATCTACTCCCTACCCTACGCACTGGGATCAATGTTATTAATGTCAATAGTGATTTTTGTAGTTGTACTGTTCCAGATGAACTGTAATTATACTATTGTTATTAAAATTCCTTTACATATAACTGCAGTTTCTTTTTCATTTGGGTACACTTTTAAAAAGCCGAACGCTTAACAGTGCTCATAGAAGCCTGAGCTTTATGGATGAGCACTTATTAACGTAAACAGCAATGAAAAATTTAGCATTTAATACTGAAAAATTAACATATTTAGTTAACATATTTAACAAGCTTTCCAAAAACTAATTGAACTCGTGGCTACAAAGTAATATACTATATATTAAAAGTGGTTTAAATGAACAGAAGATAATATCTATGGCCTAATTTTAAGCTGTCTGATATTAGTAGATAGAAAATGGGGGTTCTGCGACACGCGGTGTGCGGTGTGGGCGTGGCCAATGACGTCACACAGAGGGCGGGGACAAAGGCAACGTCATCACACTAGGAGGCGTGGTCACGAGTGGAGTTGAGGTGTTGGTAGATTGCTGATTGAGTTGTAGACCTCCTGCTTTTCATTAAAAGTTAGTTTTTTTAATTTGGCAACGGAGTCATGGCGTCCTCTAGGGATGAAAAAAGAAAATAATTTATTTTAGAAGTTTCTTTTATTAAAAAAATGTTCTATGATTCAAAATATAGGATTGAACCCTGAAATATCTGCTTTTCTGCAAAGAAATAACTGTTAAAAATATTGGAAAGAATAACATAATACTCATTAAAATTTCACACACACACACACACATACACACGGGCTTTTATCGAAAGCCTCAGCTTTCTGACACCTGAGGGTCTCTCTTCACAGTTTCACAGTCATGGGGTTTTTTTGAATTCCCAGGTGCCAGCCCCTTCCCACAACTCCACTGTGAAGTCATTGACCAATGATGACATTCAAAAAAATATTAATTTACTTTTTCTTTATCAGCCTCTATTTTATAATGACCGTACGCTAATGTATGGATGCCATCCTCCAAAATATACCTTTTATCGTCGAATGGGGAGAGACTTAATTTATTCTGGCGAAGAGTGAAAAGATGATGTGTTCTTCACTTGCAATTCTATATTGAATCTCACGTCTAGACTGCAGGTTTTGAAGGCAGTGCTTGTAATTCTCATGCAGGATTTTATTTACTTCGCACGACGTGACGTGAAACGCCCTTTGCCGTCTTCTTCTCCCCCGTCTCCGATAAAAAGGAATACATTTTTGCTCTCAGACCCACAAATTCATAAACCAATTTAGATGAAAATTCATCTTTCATACATCCAATTTTTTTCATGTTTTTCTGACTGTAAAGAGGATGATTAGGGGGATAGTCTGATGTATCATAAATGTCGCTGCGATGTTTCATATCCTCATATACATCCTTCGTACGAATTTCATACGTGAGAGAATCTGTGTCAGTGAATAACAATGACGCATTTTCTCCGTACTCCTTCTTTATAATATTGTAATGGAAGTTGTACATCAGAATTTTACTTAATTCCAAAATCACAAAACCTACATAGATTGGTCGATTCAAAGTGAGGGTGTTTTTCAATCTCTCCACTGCAACAAGATTCTCACTGAAAATTTGGAATCGTTTAAAAGTGGGACATGCTACCAATTTTTCTGCCTTTTTCCGTTCATTCACAAGTTGCACGTTAACATGGTTTCTTATATTTTCCATAGTTTTACCATAGATGGAATTATTCAGTAGTTTAAAGAAATCTTTCTCAAAAGCAGATTTTGAGTTCTTGCGTTGTTCTGTATTAAAATCAATATATGGTTTTAGCCAGGCCTTCTGCTTAAATTTCAAAATCCTATGTACGGCAGTCAATCTCAAACCTTCCTTTAAATAAAATTGTAAGTTCTTATAATACACAATATAATTTTGTTTATGCTTCAAATTGGGGATTAATTTAATTTGGCTATTGAAATTTTGATAGGGGAGGATGTTCTGAGAGAAAGGAGAAAGATCTTCTAAATTAATTTTTAACTTTTCAGGTGCGAGAGGATAATCATTATGAGCGTCATGTAGTTCAGGAGGATACTCCAAATCAACTTCTAAAATATAACCTTCTGTTGAATTTTCACTAATGGAAAGAATCCATTCAGGGGTTACAGCTTCCGCAGAAATCCATTCAAATTCGCCATAGGGTAATGCTTGCGACATCGCCCATCCATACAGGTTATTTGCATCTAGATACATGATATAGCTCTCTGGGTTTGTTGAATCGTAATTTGGCATATAATGATTATTTGCCTGCGCCCACCGCTTTGTAATCACTGAAATTCCCCCTCGTATCCCCTGTTCAATGAAGAGATGCATATCTACATCGGTTAAAAGTTCTAGAGGCTGCTCAATCATTTTTAAACATGCTTGCCAGGACAGACCGGGTGATGTCATTACATGAGCACAATCGATTTCATAAAATTGCAAACACAATTTCCTAAAATTTTCGAATACGTCTGCCAGTTGTAAAACGTCTGATTTCACGTACAAGTCGTGATATTCCCCCATTGTACGGATGTTGAAGCTGTTCCATACTGCCTGTGCATGTTCGTAATCTGACGCTGAAATCTCCTCGTCCGTTAAACTATTGTGAAAGGCGGCAGGAGGTGGTAACGCCGTCTCTTCAAACATCTCAAAGGACTGGATGTAATCGTAAGGGTAAATGCCCTTTTTCAAGAGAAGAGAAAGATCCCCTTCTCTTACATTTTCCTTTAAAATGTTGAATTTTTCTGCAGGCAGATTTTGTACCAGTTTTTCAAGAGATGTATTCAAAAACTGGAAACTGTCGATGAATTGTAAAGAAACTTTGATCTTATTGTGTTTCTTGCTAAGGGCAAAAGTGATATATTTTTCCATATTCGTAGCGATGACTTCAATTTGATGGTCTTCGATCTTTCCCAGTCCCTGCATTATATGGTGAGCGTCATAATGCTTCAAATTATGGAAGACCACCGGTATCTTTTTCTGCAAGCGATATTTCAGATTGCATAAACTGTGTAATGCTCCTCTGTAATGTCCCGTCAAGTGATCGTGATCGCGAACGCGATCCTTATAAAGAGGCTTCTTACACAGATTGCAAATCGTAGCCGTTAAAAAGTCCTGCTCTTGTTGTGGTGTCATAATTAATGGAACGATGTGAGTTAATGTTTCCGCAAGTTCATCTTTTTCACGGATGATATTTTGCAGAAAATTATCTACGGCATCTGATCCTCGATACACGTGAGCAGGTTTTAAACTCTTGCCATCGGGACCTATTACGATGTAAGCGTACCCGCAAGCTTCATGCTTCATAATGGGTTGTGTGTATGAGGTAGCATGACTCGGTTCCGATGTATGCACTTTTTTGACGATAGCCTCAAAGTCAGCATATATGATATATGGAATTGGATGTTGGAAATGTTGATTTCTAAATGAAAGAAATTTATCTTCCTCTGAAGGCATTTTAATATGCTGCGGTGAGTGTTCTTTGCAGAACGTTATATGATTTTTTAAATTTCGCTCCTCTGAAAATCTGTGGAGACAGCGATAGCAGTAAAAGGTGCATGTCTTATGACGTGTTAAATCTCCCATTAACCGCGAAAAATTTTTAATGAGGCAATAATGACTGCCTCCTTCATTAGAAATGTAGAGCAAATTAATACAGTCCTCATTTTCTTGAGGGGATACATAGAGGGGGAACACTTCATCATCTTCATATCCGAAGACGTTAATACGGATATTATTCAGTCTTTCAATGACTGGTATTTTCGTGACTGGAACGGGACACTGGATCTTGCCTAATTTAATATCTGCTTCATAGGGTATGTAATGACTGACTCGTTCAGGCTTATTTTTCCGGTCAATCTTCATTTTATGTGCAAGTAGGCACCATACGAAGCATTTTAAGTCCATGTTCTGGATATTTAAAATAGCTTTCTTATCAGCCAGTTTTTTGGGAAGGGGATGTAACTACTCGGGGCGAGCGGATGATATTTTGCCACACATAAATCTAATTGATTTATTTCATCGAGAATCCATCCCGATTCCCGCTGAGTAAATGCTTCGAAGGACTTTAGGATTTTTTGAAATCCCTCTTCCACATGACCTTCTACGGTCTCCTCCATTAATTCAATAGCACATTTAGATCGGAAATGGGGGGCAATAGCATCTAATTCCCCATCCCGTGTTGTGCGTGTTAAATGAACTTTTGCCACGACATACCATTTAATAGTGGATTTGTCGGCTAATTCTTCTTGTAATTTTGATGTAATTTGGGGGCGCATCTCTTCAAAACATAACAAAAAGTCGGACGCATTTTCCTCAGAGGGTGTAAACGTATGTACACTAAATACGTTTAAAGCACCTTCTTTCCTCATTTTTTTCACGGGACGATAGAGCGCATCGACCTTCCTTTTAGTGCAGTGAGCCGTGCGCACATGTTGTAGCAATTCACTCTTTTGAGTGAACACTTGGTCGCAATAATTACAAGAGTGTTCTTTAGAAGGCTTGATATGGGTCAAAGCATGACGTTTCAAGTCAGAATTTCTTGCAAATGCTTTCTGACAAACATCGCAAGTAAAACTTTTTTCTCCGGTATGAGTTTTCATATGTCTGGTTAAACTCTCCTTGCGGGTAAAGAATTTAGAACAGATGGTACAGACCTAGGAAAATTAAAGGGGAACCCTATAAGTATACATCTTTTCAAGGTGTATGTTACATATTATATAAATATGCGTCACGCAAAGTGTAATAAAAATTTCTCATCTACCCCAACTATTTCACATAACGCGCTTAAACATAACAGATATAACTAAACATAGTTTCCTCAAGATTTAAATCCTTTCGCATTTAACTCAAAGATACGGAAAAACATGAAGTGAATAATACCCTGAAAGCGAGCAGTTAAGTGAGAATCTTTACAAATACGGAAACGATCGCTGATAATGATCAGGTAGAAACTCTTCACAAAAGGGTCACACGTGTGCAAAGCTGGTTAAAGTCACAAAGCAAGATTGCCAATTGTATCGTTACTTAAAAGATAACAAATAGAATTCTTCTACCCCAAAACAAGAATATATTTTCAATAGAAAGTGTGTATCTAAAATATTTAACTAACTACCGATATTTTTTCTTTTCTAACATTTAATGTATACATGGATTTACGTTGCATTTCAAGTACTGAGAAACATAGTTATTTCGGAATTTAAGATTCATTCATGTCTTAAGCGTGTAACGGAGAAGGATTATTGTTAACATACTACATTTTCTGATACCGTACCGCTACCTTTCTTAAAACACAACAACTTTGCAAATTATATGCAATACATAAAACTGAAAATGTAATATCAAAAATCACAACTATACACATGTAATTAAATATCAATACCTCTTCAAGAAACATTTATCAGCGTTAACTAAGTTCACGTTATAAGTTTAAACTTTCGAATGAGGTACTAAAACTTCAAAACATACACTGATACTAAAAATTCACACCGTAAATCATGTAAAACATACCTAACAAACTGAAAAACTTAATCTGTAATAATCCATTTTAAAACTTTTCCCTCACATAAGAGGTCCTGAAAGAATGATCCACCCTAAAATAATTTTTGCAAAATAAAATATTTTATAAAAACTTACATGTTCCGGAACCATACTGATTATCAGATCTCCAGCAACATCATTTTCAAAAGTTGACATTTTCAATTTAGAAAATATTAATCAGGAAGACTTGCTCTTTTCGAGATTGTCGAGCGAACTGACTTCTTCCATTTCTGACACAGCGTTTTATAGGGATTAAAGAATGTTCTCCAACATTCCAGATTTGTGTAATCTGAACCAGGACAACAACAACATTATGATAAGCCTTTCTTTCGAATACAACTTCAACTTCCATTAAACCTTATGATAACGTGAAGTCTACAACGCTTATCAAGGATCGGATCTTCCTTCACTTCTGTATGTATTGTCAAACTTGGAATAGCAACAACAACCTTAAGATAATACATTCTTTCGCGTATGATTATCAGAGTTTTAGAAATTTTCCATTACTCTATCATGATAAGTGGATGATGCTTTTAAGATTACCCTTATGCATATATGTATAAGTAATGTCAAACTTAAGAATAACAACTCTTTCAAATAGTTTTTCAGTGATTATCAGAGTTTTCCATTAACCTATCTTACCATGATAACGTAATATACATATGACGCCGGACAGACTGTCCTTCCCAAACAAGACAAGACAAGAATGTATTACGATAAGTGTTGATGAATTATATTGGTGAAGATATATTTTTTATGTATTAATTTTAAAAATATAAGAGATTCTTTAAGGCAGAAAAAAATTGTTCATTTATTTTGTGATAGGTTTTTTGAATCGAAATGTTATGAAGATTATAAAAATGCATTAATATAAGTACAGCTATTCTATTTAAATTTCTGTGTTTGGTTGATGTTATGACTATTTTTTCCTTATGTTTTTTTAATAGAAATATATTGAAATTTTAGTTTTAATTTTAAAGCAAACATGTATATCAAATGTCAGTAAATGGATATTGCTGTTAATTTGATATTAACTAATGAAAGAAAATTCCAAGTATATTTTATGTATAATACAGAAATTTATTCTTTGAAAATAAATGTATTGAAAGGTAAAAGCTTCTTGGTGAAATGAATGTTTTTCATAACATTTAAAAACGATGTAAAACAAATATTGATTGTAGAGAGAAGAAAGAGTCTATATGTAAAAATAATAATTTTATTCATTTAATAAGGTTCCCATTTTCGTGGAGAACGTATATGTTTTACAGATTTAACATGCAATATTTTTTTTTTTTCATATTAACATCATGATTCTGTAAATTTTCATTTTTGATATAGTCCATTGGCATGTTGATTTCAGTCAAGGCTTTTAAAAATTCGCTTTTAGCAGGAATATTAATCTTTTTCTTTTTGGTTGTAAAAAGGATATTGAATAAGTCTATAATATTTGAATGCTTAATTTTTTCCTTATGATAAAGTACCTCGCCTTTATCATTCCACTTAAGAATATCAGGATGTCGCTTTAAAATAGCTAATGCATTTTGTGCTTTTCTTCTCATTCGTAAAGGTACACTGTCTAAGATAACAGTAGAATAATCAGTTACAGTCATCTGTTTGTCGCCGTCTGTCACAGATGAGGGGGCTTCTTCTTCCTCTTTCACTTTCTTCATCTCAGCTGAATCGTCTAAAGAATTTTGTGAGTCGTCTTTAGGAGGTTTAAAGGGTGAATTGTATTCCTTTAAGTTCAATTTCTTTTGTAAAAGTTCATAATAACGCACTAATTTCTCACGATCGTCAACTGAACTGTTTTAAAATATGCATCATGGCTTTATCCAATTCACTTAACTGTTTATCAGAAATGGTATGCTTTGTCATCATCTCTTCTGGAACTAACACATATTTCTTAGTGAACTCCATTGATTAGTCCTGTAAGAACACTGAGAGCAGCAGGAATCAAAACGTTTAGAAAACCTCCTTTTTGTAAAATTAATTTTCGTTTCTTCACAAGAGAAATCTTACGATTTCCTAATTTTCGTAAAGTTGTTTTATGCTTACAGAGAGACTTCTTTTGTTGCTCTGACAATGGAACGTTTCCTTTGAGTATGTTTAAACTACATTCGCATATAGCTTTTATGCAATTGATATTAATTTTCTTTAATAGCTGTTTCCGTAACTTTAACGGACAAATGTTTAACAGCTGTAACTGTCTTAGCTGTTTCTTGACCAGCGTCATTTTATAAAATGATGATGCATTTTATAAAGCTGTTGTTTTTATTATTTTTTAATAATGTTTCATTTGATAAACATACTGTACTTGGTTAGGTAAAATTTGGGTGCGTAAACGTAATTCTTCCGGAGTTTCACTGCGCAGATCAATGAATAAATAAGAAAAAGGTTTCTTGGTTGCATCTTCATATACTTCTTGAAAAAACTTTAAATGACGCGGAAAGAGCTGTTTTCCTAAATGTACGATTTGACTGACATCTCTTCTGTTTTTACACAAAATCAAATAGTGTGCATTTAAAGTCACTTCACGCATTTCTTTTCCCTTGTGAAAAAAGTTTTGTGTGATAAAAAATAACGCTTAAATTTAAATGATGACTTCCTTTTGTAAATAAGTTAGTCAGACGTTTATCATTCCCACATTCGCTCATCAAATCGTCTATGATGAATAATGTGTTGGAACCTAAATATTCTTGATATTTAATTGGTAAACCTTCGACAAAAGTAACATTCGGTATATCATTATACAGAGGTTGGTAAATTCCATAACACCATACTACTTTATCGGGAATCGTTGAAAACATTTCCTCTTTATACTTTAACAGTTCTCGTACAAAATAGGTTTTCCCACATCCAGTGGGTCCCGAAATCACCATTGTGAAAGGATGTTGTAGCTTTGGAAATTCCATATTAAATGAGACAAGACACATAATGTATAAAGTTTAAATGTATTTATTGATAGAAAGAAGATCTTACATGAAATTTCTTGATTACAAAATTATATACTTTAATATCATTAGATATATGTTGAGGTATGAAAGATAACAATATATCATTGAGAGATTGTCCACGACATTTACAATGTAAATAGTAGTATATGCAATATTGACCACATACTGCTGTTACATTAGTTTGGAGAGTCATCGAATTAAAGTCCATCTGTGGAAATCGTTCTGCATACTTGGCTATCGGTCCAGGAAAATAGGATGGGTCATGTCCATAGGAATCGAAAAATTCTAAATGCTGTGGGGATGAAATGTAAAAGGCTAACCAGTGACTACCGGATTCAGATGCACGATCTACATTAGCTATAAAGCAACTTGGATATTTCTTGATCTCGATAGGGAGTCGATCACTTGCAAAAACTCCCAGAAATGCTTTTCGTGTCTTTGCATTCTGAGAGAGTGCTCTGTTTATTTCAAGGCTGTCCATTGCTTAATTAGCAAAATCGCATAGTACATGGACGAGATTTTGTTATTTCAATCACGTTTTGAAATTCTGCATAGACTAGCACCGAGAGAGTCACAGAGAGAGCTTTAGCAAATTTAATTTCTACTCGCAAATTGCCTTGATGCTGTAAGTTAAAATGAGATCCATCACACATATCTGGAGTTAAATCGAAAGCATATAACACATGTCCTTTCACAAATTCTTCTCGAGATAAATAGATGCCTTTGTCGCGATTAAATCCAGAAAATAAACTGTGGTAAGCACGCACATAATGATTAGATTCGAAATCAAGGTCCATTGGTTTACATGGAACGGGTTGTCCATCTACATAAATCGATATAAAGTTGACATGATGATGGGCAAACAGAAAGGGATTCATTGAATATTGTCCATTCATTGCAGCATTTTCTACACAAGTAATAATGACTCGCTTGGGCATCAATCCTAAAAATACATTATCTTGCATAAAAGACCAACTTCCCTTAGATACTGAATATGTTTTGCATAATACTCGATCTATAGGGTATTTAGCAGAACTTTTTTCCAACGCTTTTACATGTCCGAGAGAGACTCCAGGGTTTACTTTTACTTTTCTGATAAACAAAGAAGCATGATCCAAGATCACTTTATAATCGGCATCTTTCTCAGTAGAAACTAGACAGAAAGCAGATTTACTACGCACCATTTTAATTTTCACATCAACTAAATTTAACATGAGTCGATTTTGTTGAAAAATGTCACAATGTAATTGTCCTATCAAATCCACACTTTGACTGTTTTTTATAAGTTCACCGCGAGCTTTTAGTCCAGCATCCGCATCTTGAGCTAAGACATCTATTTTATTAGGTGAAGTGTCTTGGAAAAATCCTTCGCAGGTGAGTAAACTTTTCTTTGCATCTTCCCCATAATTCAATAATGTTTCGATGAAGGCTCTATAGGGATAGGTATTTGTCGCAGATGAAATGTTTCTTTCATTTAAACTTACATCTACTTGCGAAAAGAGAGAATGTAAAAATAAATTTACAGGGGCAACCGGTTCTTTGTCTGTTAGATTGGATCCGTCTGCCTTAACTACTTTAACTTTCACGTGTATATAAGAAGCAGCTAGATCAATATAGTCTTCACCACTGCCAGAAATATTAAATTCGATAGGTCCTCCATCTCGTATATTTGCGAGAGGGTGATATTCCACAAACTGTCCTTTTTCTATAGCTGTTTGCGTAGGAGGAATGGTAAATAAATCTAATTCAGATTTGACGCAAACGGGAGAGTCTCGATGAATATACGAAGTCATACTTTTTTTTTTAAGAGAAAATATCCTGTGCTTTCACCTTCTTTGATCGGTGAGAAATGGTACGCTTTTTCCTACGTTTCTGCTTTTTATTGACTCGTCCAGAACCAATCATGTTCTTCACTTTAGTAGCAGCTTTATCCGTTAATATATTTCCGGCTTCTTTCAGTCGACGCTTAGCAGCCTCTTTTACATCTTGTCCTTGTGATACATCATTTAACAAATTCAGTCCACTATGCCATACTTGTTTTCCAATTGCTTTGGCTCCTGATTTAATAAGAGGTACGGCAGCGCGAAAGAAGGATCTGAATAGACCCCCTAATAATCCGTATCCTCTCTGATAAAGATTACCTTGATAATAATTCAATCCATGTCCTGTTTGTTGTACATAATAATCTTCAAAAGATTTTTGACAACACTGATAAGGTACATACATTATGACAAGTATTTTTGACGGAAATGAAGTTTCACGTATGACCTTCCTCGTTCAAATGGCGTAAATGCTCCCATATGCGTTCTTTATATCGATTTCCAAAGTGTCTATCATTTTCCGATTCACAGGTAAATAATGAGGTCTATCAAATAGTGCACTCACCACTTCTCCATCGCTACCAGTTACTCTTACAATTCGAAGAAGAGGAGCTAAAACATCTCCTACGATTTGAGGTTCTACAATATCCGTATATATCATTAATACACGATAATGTGCACAGGGGTCGGCTGCAAAAGGACTTTCTACAACAGTTTCGGAACTATCATCTGTAGATGTAATTTCCATAGGTTCAAAACCTAACATTTGTGCTAACCCATCATGTAAAATCACTTTAGCGTTATTTTTCACTTTGATTTTCACTCGTTTTTGTTACTGGGTTATAATTAAAAATTATTTTGTTTTGATGTTCTTTAATATAAATAGCTTTTAAAATATCAGGTACTGTTTCATAACATCCTGGAGGTAATCTACGACCTAACATTTCACCATCTTTCTCTAAAACAAATCCAATTAAGTTATTGTCTGCATTCACATTGTGCCATGTGTGTGCGGATATAGCAATTCAACCAAAACCAACTTCCCACATACCTTTTAATTCAATGGGAACAGGTAAACGTGTTATAAAATGTGAAATTTTATTTTCGGGGAAATAATTCATAGAGCTATCGCTCGGAAGTGTTACGTAGAAACTCATTTTCACAAATGATTCGGATACAATATTTTCTCACACTTTATATCGAGAGTAAATTAGAAGCTGGAATCCATTGATTGAATTTGTCGGGATAACCGCGATATTTTACAAAGTATTCTGTCTGTTTCTTACGCATACGTTTCTTTAAAATTTTTTCAATGCGATATTCCTCTTTCAGTCTCACTTTCTGCAACTCTTTGTGCATAAAACGTTCCTTTTACTGAGTCTCCAAGTAAATCTTTAATTCTATACACGGCTGGATGTCTTTTAACACACTCTGTCACCACAAATAGTTCTTCTTCCGTCCAATTGGTTTCATAAGCCTTTTTCGAAAGTAAGCTTTAGTTTGGAAACACGTACCACATCTCCTACAGCGAATATACATTTAGAAACGTTAGAAGGATGATCTTCATACAAGGTAAACCATACATCACTCTCATTTTCTGAATTGACTTCTATGGGAGCTCGCTTTATACTTGAATGAAAAGTAGCATTATAACTTTCTATTAATTTGTCCAAGACATCTACATATTTATATGTATTTCGAGTCGTAAAGTATTTCCACATTTTTGTTTTCAAAGTGCGATTAAACCTTTCCACCACGGATGCTTTAGTAGTATTGAATGTATTGAAAAGTTTAACTTGATTTCTTTTTAAAAATTTTATAAACACTTTATTTTTAAATTCGGTGCCCTGATCCGTTTGAAGTAATTTTGGTTTACGTTGGACTCATTATTTTTTGAAACGCTTTCACACAATATCTTCTCCTCTCTTTTGTTTCAGAGGAATAGCCCATGCATATTTTGGATAATATGTCAATACAGGTTAATATATATCGATAACCATCATTATGATCACGTAAATGTGAAACATCCACTAAATCAGCTTGCCATTGTTGATCTATAGAATACACGATTACTCTATTCGTTGGAAATTTTCGGCGAATCGGCTTGTGAAGCGTGTACGCATCTATTCCCTCTAACCATGTTTGAATCTCTTTCCTGGAAACTTTACCTCCTGCAGCACGATGTAAAGCTTCAACACCACCAAAACTTGCAACATGAGCCGGATCCTGATACGATAAATTCGATAAATTCATATTCATAACCTATTGAATTATTCTTCATATGGATAATGATAAATTCCCACTGTCGTTAAGACGTAGCGTAAAATCAATAGGAATTTTATGAAATTCTGTAAAAAAATATAGATGGATGATAAAATAACACATAAAACAGTGTATAAACACACCGCAACGGTGGCTTCTCCTCCTGGGGCAGGCATAATTGCAATTGATGAGCTGATTCAAATTCCATTTTCTTATATAGGCTTTTTTACCTAAATCTGAATGTATCCCGTCAGCTTAGTGGTTAAAATCTTCAAACTACTGAGCTGGTGAGATATTTTTGTTTCAGGGTTCAATTCCTATATTTTGAATCATAGAACATTTTAAAAAAAAGAAACTTCTAAAATAAATTATTTCTCTTTTTCGTCCCTAGAGGACGCCATGACCCCGTTGCCAATTAAAAAAAACTAACTTTAAATGAAAAGCAGGAGGTCTACAACTCAATCAGCAATCTACCAACAACCTCAACTCCACTCGTGACCACGCCTCCTAGTGTGATGACGTTGCCTTTGGCCCCGCCTTCTGTGTGACGTCATTGGCCACGCCCACACCGCGTGTCGCAGAACCCCCATTTTCTATCTACTGATATTTCTGGCCTCTGCCCATCTTATAACACTAATTTTAATTATTTGTTTAAAGGAATAATCTTTTCCTTTTTAAAATTTATTTATTTAATTTTTTGCCAAAAATTTTCGATGGGTTTTAAATGCACACTAATGAAGTGTTTCAAGTACTCAAGACAATTAAACAAAAAGCAGAAACTAAAACATTTCCATGTATATTACCTTTATTTTGATGCTGTGTTTTAAAATGGGATTTAAAAAAGAAAATATATGTATTTCAATGATAATTTTTCCGTAAACTGTTGCTTTTTTTTCTTTACGTACTGATGTATGAAAGAAAAAAAAAAAGAACTTACACTCTTAGATTAATTTCTAAAGTTGCTCTTAAATTAAACGACAGAAACATTATTTGAAAAAAAAATGTGGTGTTCTCTAATTTTGTAAATTTTAAAACCTATGAATATTTCAAATTCAAAACTGTCTTGCAAATTGCTTTCCTCAGATTCTTTGGTACTTGGCCGGGGGGGGAGAAAAACCGTTGTATAACATGATCTATTTTACGTATGTATTATACACAAACAGAACAGATAAACTGAGCAAATAATTTTATTTAACAGTGGTTTTTTTTAAATTTCCTGTTAGTTTTAGCCTAATTTATCAGTACATTTTCGTTTTTGATTGCTGTGCCTATATTTAAGCAATTTCCTTGAACTGAACTTTGACTTCTGTGAATGTCATATTGGGTGAACAGAATTCAGCTGCTGTACGATACTTGATTACTCTGTCGAAGGGGAAGCCCATAGCCTTTTTGTCTGGATACTTCTGATCTTTAGCTCCACAGTAACTGACAGCATCAGCACAGATAGCTTTATCATTCAAGCCATTCACCTGAAAGAGAAAGTAAAATAGTAATTGTAAATGAACAAAATATAAAAGTCGAATAATTGAGGATTTTAAGCCTTCGGTAAATTTTAAAAACTGCAGGTAACTGAAGTTAAAGAACTGGTTAGAATTTTGCTTATATTAAAATCTGGATTATTTTTGCTATACAGTTTTTAAGGGAAAGGTTCCATTATATTATTAAATACAACTATATCGCATTTAACACGCCAATAAAGCAGCAGCTATAAGGCTTCTTATGCATCATTATAATTTTGTGTCTCATTTGTGAACACACAGATAGCTAGCTTGCAGCAAGCGATTTTTATTTCGCCATTTGCCCGGGAAAGAGATTTGTATGATGCTAAAATGAATACCGTTTTAATAAATATTTTCTTTACAGAGTTACCTAAAAATCCGCCTTATTTATGACTATATAATAATTGCTCATTTCATTTTTCACTGCAGTCTTCCATCGATTAAACTTATTTCGTCATTAATATTTTTTAATGTTAGCCATTCTTTATGTTATAGCATCTATCAGATCGGAAATTACATTAAACAATAATTTTCATTACTTAGTCTTACCAGTTGGCTAAAGCTAGAATTTGTTAATTTAGTCTTTAGTTCCTTTCTCGGTAGCGGAAAAGACTGGATGCTTAGCTACTTTGTGGCTACCTTCCTGCGCAATCAGACCTATCAGTCTCTAAATGACTGAATCGGTGGAAATAGTGGTATTTTATTCTGGAATCGATTCGCCTCGACTAAACTAACTGCAAGGGATTTCCTTGCTTTTCCAATTGTAACATAAATGTGAGTCTTTGGCTCAGAAAGTTCTTCATGAAGACAGCCAATTTAAATGACGTACTAGCTCTAGAATAAGTTGCTATTAATTAACCAACAATTTTTGTCATCGAATCTTGTTAAAAATTCATTAACTAGACTGCAGTAGTACATAGTTGGGTTTTAATTTTTTCTGGGCAGAATGTGTAATCATTTATGAATTCTTTTGAGTGTCTTTTTTCTACATATGATAGTAAAATAAAATTTATATAACTAGAAGTTAGAGTAAATAATACCGTGAGACTTAATAAGCAAAACTGAAAATTCGTTCAAACAAAGCCATTTAGTGATAACCATCAAATTCATCCACACAAAAATACTTATTTCAGCATTCCTTTTTGATTCTTCATTGAATACCTGAAAATACGCTCAGAAGAAAAGGACCACTAGCAAATTTTGATATTGATTAGGAAAGAAATTTAGCTTAAACATTAATTTTAAAACGGGCTGGAACGTTTAATGTATAAAAAATCAAAGTAATTTTTAAGTCTTACATGATCTTGCTCGTAATCTGTCAGCATAACAAACAGCTGGAAGTCCATGCCCTTATGATTACCACGGGGTACAAGAAGGTGTTCTGGCCAACCGCAACTGCAAAATTCTGTGCTGTTCTCACTAATTCCTTGGCCGGATTGAAGTTCAGAGAATTTTGGGGTAGGGTTTACTGTTACGGATGATTCTGAAGATTTGCGTGAAACGGTGTTTTTGCCTGGAGCCACTAAAACATAAAAGTTTGATAATAAATTAGCATTCAAGCAGTAGCAAAAGCAACTGTAAAACATATCGATGTTTTGTAAAACATCATAATTAGCGTCGCATATCGAACATAAATGGAAAATATAACAAATACCTTGGAAACTGTTATTTTTTACAATGTTTTCTGTTTAGTAAATGAAGCTCGTTGAAAAATGTCATTCTTATTAAATAACGATATTTAAAAAAACTAATTAAATCTTTAAACAATATTTGAACAGCATTATTAACAAGTCATATCATCTGTTTGCGACAGTCTTAAATAATTACATTTTTGTTTTTGTCTTACCTATGTAACTGTTTATCCTAAAGTTTTGAAATTTCTTTCGAAACTGAAAGCATTGAACTCCTTTAAATTTAAAATAAAACTAAGTGGAAACTTACGTTCAGCGTGGAATTTATCTAACTCAATGAAGAATCGTCTCTGCTCATTTAACTGTAGCTTGTTTCCAAGTTCATCATGAGAGGGCCCCAAGAAAATACGTACAGTTGCCTGTTTAACACCACCTGAACTGTTTTCAACGCTAATTGAATAAGTGAAAGGCTCGTGGTCCAAGTGATGATATCTAACCTGAAAAAGAGACATGCAAGTGTCACTTTTTTTCTTAAAGCTATTTGTTCAAGTCTTATTGTGTATATCATACTATTTAAACAAATTATATTCATTATTATTCCGTACGTTTTTTACTGCTATAAAAATTCTGTAAACTGAAACACTTAGTATTAATACACCGAACACAGGATAATATATTAAAAAAGAGGCTCGGATAAAAAAGAAGTATTTCACACTTTGGCTGTTCTGTGAGTAGGATATGAATTATGATACTTTCTTTGAAAAAGACCTGACGTGAGCAAATACTTTTATATATGTCTGGTATTTACCATCGCTCGTGAGGAAGTAGTTCGACACTCCGTAATGGCATCATATTTCAAAAATCACCAATTATGCTGCTTATGCTAAAATATTAACATCATAAGCGGAACAAAGCAAGCTGTTATGGAAACTTCCGCCGCTAAATTCGCCACTAGAAATGAATCTTATTGTAAATGAAAATTGTCAAAAAAAGGGATGTGAAATTCATTTACCAAAATTATAATCCCTGTTTTACGTGAATTCATAACTATTGATTTCAAAACGTATCTTTATTTAAACATCTTAATATTTTCATCTCTGTCAATCATGCTTACCTTCCTTAAATATGTATATTTAAGGAAGATACAGTTTTAGCTTTAGTTTGTAACAACCCGTTAAGTCTTCGTTTTAATATGGTTATTTGCCCTTTTATTCCAAAAATGGTAAAATACTTATAGTAAATCATTCTAAAATGCTTCCTTCCAAAATTAATATCTGCCATGATATTCTTATATAATGCTAATGGTCCGCGTACTTACATAACAGCAAAAGTGAAACTAAAGCCTTTTATCCAATAGTATTCAAATCGAACTTTTATCAATAGAATATCAATAAAGCGGTACTATACACGTGTACTGTACATTAAAATAACTTCCCCGCTCTTAATCTAACATCAATAACATAATCTCGCTTTTCTCACACCAGCTTTTTAATTATTCAGATAGCACATAGTCTGCCGCCCCTCGTTATCGACAAAAGTATTGCAAAATGTTTGAAACGCATATACTGGCAATCATTGAAACTTCAGAATACTCCTTAAAATGAGCGCTCGTGTTGGGCTAATTTAGATACACTGATGTATAGTTACTTCAATAAAGATATGCCAGAAATAAAGAATTGCATCAACTCTCAGCGCCATCATCATCTTTTACATAAACTTTTCGTCAGATACGTGTAATGCTGACTTACTGACAGGTCCATACTTTTTGTGCAAGTGAATAATAGGTATGAACTAACGTTGACAAGTGAATAAAAAGTGTTTATATTCTGAAGAAATTTTGCATCCTAATTCTCGATAGCGGTATTTGTTGTTTATGCTATGACCGTGAACTTCAACATGCCAAATATTTGGGGAAAAAAAAAAAAAAAAAAAAGCGAATATCCAACAACTAGGACGTACTTTTTAGATCTCAATTGTGAAATAAAATTAAAACAATCAAATAGATTTATGAGTAAGGAAAAGAGGAAAACTATCTGTTAGGTGGTTGAACTGTCTGGAAGGGCTGTTGGTATTCCTGAAGTAACTGAAGGCCGGATATAGAAATGTAGGATCAAGAAAGTTGATTTACGGAGTGCGCTGGGCTAGGCCTTTAACTCCACATCATCAGAGACAAAATTACATCAAAAGAGGGCTTCATCTAATACGGGAAAAATTTAGAAGCTTAATTTAAAAAAATAAAAGCTTTTTAGATAATGCCTTTCGCATGAGAAAAAGGGTAAAAAAATAAAAATAAAAAAAAAACTCATAGAAGGTCTTTTTATTTAAATTTCGTGTCTAAAAAGGGCTAGAATTCAATTTGGAGTGCAGTTATCATTTATAAGATTTGGAATAGAATTAAAAGGTGCAAAGTGTTTCCTTGATTCTTCATATCAACAATAAAATAAAAATCCTAAGAAGAATAAGCAGTCCGGATGAAAGAGCTAGCGCAAGTTCAATGAAATTGCACCCACTCGGGGTAGCTGGGCGAAATAGGAGGGGTTTTAGAAGCAGCTGATGGAGGAGAACAAATTTTAGTCGCTATTCAACGCGACGTTTAAAGGTCAGATAAGAGCAGCCCCTTAGGGGTGTCGAAAGCAACCCGTTTAGCGGGTGAAAGGAAGCTTTTAAGAAGCAATTAAGAATAAAGAATTATGCGGCTGCAGGGATAAAGTTGTTCCTTGTTAAAGAGACGGTCAAAGATTCTTGACCGTTGAGTCCGTTGAGGCAGCTAAAGGCTTATAACCGGCTGTAGGACGGATGAATTACTTTTTCTAAAAAAATTAGGATACCATTTTAAACAATGGATTTGAATATGCATTTATTTAACATAGATTCCCATAATATATATATACCTTTATTATTTGATTAAATTTGTATGAATAATTGTTCTCTCTGTCATACATAAAATCTAATGAGAAAAGCTAAGAGTTACCCCAAAGAACAGTATTCCAAAATGAAAACACTATTTTCAATGTAAATATTTATAATTCTTACCTTGACTGATCCGGTTAAGGAAATACCATGAGAAAGTTCCAGATATTCTTCTTTCATGAAGGTGTTAACAATATTGGGCAATTTCGCGTTCACGGTGACATTAACGATGCTTACTCCAGGAAAAATCAACTATTAGAGAAAGAAATGAATATATATTAATTGACAATACTTTTCTGCTTTTGAATTATAAAATTAATTTTTTTATTTTTCATTCATTTTGATACTTAATTTATTAACTAATATAATTTTAATGCATAAATTAAATTATTTAGTAGTTACTTTTTCAATTTTTCTAATATATTTGTAAAATTAAAAAACACTTGCTTTTCGATACTGAATTCAACTTGAATAACTCCGTGTTTATAAAAGAAATATTAATTATGCTTACGTCTTTCTCCTCATAAGTAGGCAATGTTGCTTTATATTCTTGGAAAATGTTATCGATGAATCTGTGGTATCTGTAGAAAATAGGGTCACGAAGAGATGTTGAAGTGTCACTCATAACTCCTGGATTTTCCTGTAATAATAATGAGGGAAACTTTTCATACAGGACCTTTTGAGTATGCACTAATATGATATTAAAAATTCATTTAAATATGAGAACTAGAAAGTTTTTTCATATGACCTGTACAATTTATTTTGACAATATTTTAAATTGATAATATACTGCTAAACTATAGCTGCTTAGTTCAATAAGGTAAAATTCAATGTTTTCATATCTGTTGTTATAACTTTTGGTTTTACATAAAGTACGGTTAATTACATACCTTGTATCTGCCATCAGGATCATGGATGCGTGCCATCATAACATGGCCAGAGTTGTGGAGATTTCCGTAGTATTCCCGATTTCTCGATTCATAACTGGACTCTAGCATTGCTCCCAGCATATCAATGCCGTGTTCTGGGGTGAGTATAACTTCATTTCCATGATCATCTACTAGCACGCCGAGATGGATCGCTTGCAAAAGTCTTTCCCTCCACCTGGCCATGTCTTGCACATCTACGTACTCATTCAAATCGTGGAGGCTGAGCCCAGCAGGACGGTTAGCATAATGATGTCCACTGACCAGTGAGGTCAAATGGGGAGAGTAGCCTTCGAGTTGTTCTTCGAAATTATGGAAAGGGATCATGCGCTGAAGTCCCGTGGATAGACGATCACAATCGTACCTGTGTTAAGAAAAAATATGTTAACTGCAAAATTTAAAAGAAAAGTATCCATCCGTTTTGATCTGTCTGCCACCGGTTTATCAAATTGAAAAGAAAGATTATACTAATAGGACTTTAAAAAATTATGAATGCTGTATAAGTATTGATAAATTAATCTAATCACTGTATCATTTCGTACTTTGCACTTAACAATAGAATATTCATTTACCTGTAGTATTTATCATAAGTGTTATATTACCTATTACGTATTTGCCAAGTGAATTAATTTTTTTGATATTAAACTTAGTAATTTAAGAACGAATACTGCTGGAAACTACTGCTTATCTAATAATTACTTTAGATTAACAGAAAATGAAATAACTTTTAGAGTATGGCTTACTTTGTGAGCATAAACTAGTTCCAAACTCCTAACCAACGTTAAGCGAATTATTACTGTGTCTGAAATAACTGCAGAGATTTGAATAGGTTTAAACAATATTTTTATTAAAACAGAACCTAGAATATAAATGCACTTTCTTATGCTAACAGAATCAATCACAACTTGTTGCGATGCAACGAAAGTAACAGTCAATATCAAATTTAAAACGTAGAGTAGCAGCCAAAGACGACACAATTAGATTTTAAATTAAGCTGGCTCAAAATGACTCAAATCGTCGTAACAAATTCAAATATCGACAGCAACGGTGGGAAGCTGGACAATTACAAACTTATTACCAGCTGACAGAAACTATGTAACGTGCTTGCCCAGAGGCAGAAACACAGTCTTCCTTTCGAGAGCCTCTCACCCTTACAATACAAAACTCTCAACTTAAATGCTCTTTAACTTCATTGACAACCTGGTGAGGAAGCGGAAAGGAGAATTGTAATAAAGGCTGAAATTATAAGTAACTGGTTGATTTAAATAATAAATCTTACAAATTAAATATAGAGGATAAATATTTCAATAGACACTTTTATTATTTTTCAATACCAATTTCAATGGTTTCTTTCAACTTTGGAACTTTTTCTAATAATGAGCTATATTAAATCTGTGCTCTAAATTTCCATTAATTAATTAAGACACAATAACACGCCGAATAAATACTAATTCAGAAGTCAAACAACAAAAATCAGCGTTATATTTACAAAATAATAATTTTGTAAATATAACGCTGATTTTTGTTGTTTGACTTCTGAATTTCCATTAATTAGTTAGAAATAAGCTGATTTGTTTGCTTGAGGTAATATCATTTAGTAAATAGGAACTTAAATTGTTTTGTACAGAATTTCATTGGTTTCTTATAAAATAAATTTTAACTATAGTTAATTTTTACTCTTTGTAGGCTTTCTTATAGGACAAAAGGCACATAGTTACTTAACTATGTAATTAGTTACTTAGCTAAGTGATAGCTATTACTTAATTGCTTAACTACGCTATTACTGGCACCGTAGAAAGTTCAGATTTATTTAAGCCAATAAACTCAGGGAAAATAAAATTCTTTACCTGGCGCACATCTGTTGATGCATGTAGTAGAAAAGTTCTCCTTTTCTGTCCTTTACTTTTCCCATAACTCTTGGGCGCCATGTTGCAGGATACACAATGTGCCAGTGCCAGTGATGGGCGTTTGCTCCAATATCCTCACGGAAATATGCCAATTTGTACTCAGGATCTAGGATATTGCCAGTCTGGATAATGTCAACTACCACAGGTGACTAATTAAAATAAAAAGTTAGAACCTATGTAAGTAAACATAAAAATAGCTACTAATATATCTGTTTGTTTATGCAGATATATAAATGCACAAAAGTCAGTTATCAAATGCAGAATAAATAATAATCTCTTTTAATTTTGGAAATCCTATCACTAGCTGCCGGTCTGTTTATTTTCTTCGCAACTTAGTATTTTATCAAATTAGTTTTTTTTTTTTTTTTTTTTTTTTTTTTTTTTTTTTTTTTTTTCAGTTTATTTATTTTATAATTGAACATTGCTTCAGACTTTCGGATAACATTGCTTCAGACTTTCGGATACTGAGATGCGAAGCGATTAAAGTGAATTCAGTATATAATATCTGGGGAATATAGGAGCATTTAAGTATAGCAAATTAAGTGTAATATTTAAGTATAGTATGAACCCTATTTGTTAAAATGTATGTATGTTAAAGTTTGAATTAATTTTTCTGTTTTAGAAGAAAAATGAAAACTTTATTTCATCCGTGAGCATACTTATTACTGGATGGATTATCTGTCTCATAAGATATAATTTTACAGTAAAAAAATCTTTTTTCGGTTCTTATTGGTGTTGGACATGTTGTACGTACAGGTGGACCTTTTTTTTTTCCTAAAATCATGCAGACTAAACAAATTTTGTAGAAATCCAGACGATTTGCTTCAAAATCGCGGATCAGGGTTGAAAAATCTTCTCTTAGTTGATATGCAAATTATTTACGTTTGCTATATTAACTTTGTCATCAAAGGTATTTCTCTTTGCCTTTTAGCATATTCAAATTCACTATGGGATTAATGTGTTTCCAGTTTCTTCTTTCTAGATCTGGTGGAATATATTGCGGTCTAATTGAATTCACCACTCAAAACTGCTACAAAAATTCTACTTTCTCACAGTTTCATCGAAGGAAAATCCGAGACAGCTGGAACTAATCTTTCTCTCTGCCTAACAGATTAACGCCTGAAAACAGTGAATATTCATTGCGATATCAGCATTTAAAGAAAACTTTTAGCTGCATATATGCAGTATATGTGTACTTTTTTTTTTTACTTTCAGTGTTTGGTAGCCAACTTGTAAGACCAACTTATATATAAACAGATTTCGCAAAAATTCTGAAAGATATCGACGATACGATAAGCTACATTGCAGTTACTTTTTGGAACTAGCTGGACTGTAAGGAATTTCACTATATTATTATTTTATTAATTTATCGGAACCCCCTTCGCTGCAAAAGGACTAGTCTAGTTTTACACAAAAAAGCAAAAATGCGTGTCCGATGCTATAAAAGGCAGATAAAGTACTTGGGCTCAAACACGTATTTGATGTCAAAACGTACAAAGGTTAAATTGTGATTTTTGGCATTACCGTATAGGGCTGGACTTGTATGATTAACATTATACTTCGAGAGATTTTTCATCATGTGCGTAGTAATGATATATTATTTCACAAAATCAAATTATCAATCATAACAGCTGAAACTTGCTGCGTGAAGTTAGGTACTGAGCAAGACTTTCTAGCAATCGTTTCTAATCTTCAGGTAGGAAATTAAAACGCTAGTTGTAATTATGCATATTTACTTTTAAATGTCTAAAAAATAAAATTATAAATTTTTTAATGACTCATTTGAAATTTGTGTTTAATGTATTAGTAACAAAATTATCGTTAAATAAAGGATGATGTTTTAGTTTAAGGAAAAATTTATGTTTCTTGATAACAAAGGAAATCAGATTGAAAATTTATACGTTTTTTTCAGTTACATAAACCATGCCCCTTCGGATAAGCACATAAAAAATCTGAACAAAATTAATTATAACACTTTTAAATTACTTAATCCAAAGACGATTATAAATGTCTGTAAAGAAAATAATAATAATTTTAAATTACTTCAAGGAAAAGCGCAATGGTTTCAACAGTTCAGCAAGTTGTAGAAAAATGTTTCTTCTTCATAGTATTCATGGAAGTAAACTGAGTTTACAGTGATAAATACTGATAAATAATTCTGTAAATGGTCTATTCCTCCGTCTGATTTTCAAAAGGTATCAAAATTCAATAATGTTAATTTACGCTAGTGTCTATAAACATTAAATTATGCGTAATTATGAAAAGTCGAGTAACAAGACTGCATGCATTTAGTTAATACATTTAACTGAAAAATTAACGAAATGATGAGTGGTACAATTATATTCATTTTGAGGCATTATGTAAGTTAAATGGGATTTTGTATTAAGTTGCATAAATACTTATACTTACGTTTTACCGTTATTAGGTTATTTTAAAGCAAAAGACATAAAAAATGGGCAGTGCCCTCTTCGGGACTCGAATGGGACCTTTCGAATACGCGCCCAGTGCGCTGCCGTTACACCACGAACACATGCGGAAAGGAGGGAGAAAATACCTTATACACTTCCCCGTTTAAAGGGCGACCAGGATTAGGGAGCCCAATCGCCAAATCGTGATGGTAACGAATTATTGTCCACGACTTTTTAGTTAGACTTTTTTTGTTGCTGGAGATGAGAAAAATTAACAATGCCTCGCCGAAACTCGAACCTGAACCTCTCGAATAGGCGCCGAGTTACACCAGGAAAGAATGCTGGAAGGAGAGAGAAAATTAACTTGCCTGATAATGCTTTCAGTTAATTATTAATAACCCCCAGAAGTGAAATAGAGCTTAATAACGTATGAACATAAATAGTTTATAAAATGTCTTCATTACTAATTTGGGCATTAAATAATAAGAATGCAAATTACTGTACAGAGGATTTTCCAAAAGCATTCAAAATAGCGGCTGCTAACTTTTGTTACTAAATTTTCACGTGGGAGAGTCCAAAGCAAAATTGTTTGAAAGGATTAAGCGACTATTTTGTGATCTAAGATTTGTTTCAACCTGATCGACAAGATTGCTGTTAAAATGCAATCTTGTCGAAATTATTTTAGGGAATTTATTAACATTTAGGAGAAGACTGAATTTAAGGAAAATCCGAGTATATTCTGAATTGATGGTAAAATAAGTTTAAATTGTAATCCTTTCCCATCTTACCTATGATCTAAGTCACAAAATAAAATTATTTGCCCTTCTTTGAAAAAGGAAGGTGAAACAGGAACTCACGTTTAACCTTTGTTGAAGGAAAATGAAAGAGTAAAATACGAAGCATTTATTTTCATAATATTCTGTTGAAAGTAGACCAGAGTTTCGGAGCTCATATAGGAGCGTTACTCAAACCAAATCCAGTACAGAATGATAAGAAAAGAGTTCTTCAGTTTACGATGAATGATAAACGTTTACTCATCAAATTTAACCTTTATTTGTTTAGCGCAGAAGAGTTACATTGGAAATGCAAATATGTAAATCGTGTTTCATTTATAACTCAGATAATATTCCCTGATCCTTATTAATTACTGTGAATTATCCATTATTAATTACTTTGAATGATGAATGAAAACGAAAAGATTTATATTAAGCCCTTATGTCAGCTTTCAAAGAAAATATTGATAGTAATACGTCTAAAATTTCATTTCCTACTTAATTACATGTATTCTCATTCCCTTAAAAGCCGGAAGAAATTTTTGCTTACATCATCTTTCCTCTTGAGGTCGGACTTGATAGCTTGGTTGATAGTTTCTGAGGGAATGAAACGGTCAGGGAAAATTTCCTCTATTGGTGGCACAGTTACGCCCCTGCAGTCATCACGATGCAAAATAGCCACGGATGCAGAATAGACGAACATTCCTTCATTGACAATGTCCCTGGCTTGTTCTGCAAGACGCATGAAGTCATCGAAGTCCTTTGCTCCTGCGTGATAAAACAGTTCAATGTTAGTTGACAGTCTTGAAAAAATAATTATCAAACATCTCTTTCCTTAAAAAAATGTTTATCTGTTGATATTAATAGTGCAACGAAAGATTGACTAATTAATGTATAGAGATATTTCGAAGCAGGAGAGATGAAAAATGAGCAACGCCTTCGCCGGGACTCGAACCACGGGTCTCTCGAATACGCGCCGAGCGTGCTGACCACTACACCACGAAAGCATGCTAAGAAGGTGGGAGAAATACCTTATAAATGTTTTAAATCATTTGTTAAGATAAAGTCTAAGATGAATGAAAAGCAGAATTAATATTCAGGACTTTTTTAAGATAATAATACTTTTTATACTTTCTATTTCTGAATACTTCTTGTGAAATATTGCTTTAACCAAAGCGTCAATTAATTCAGGGATTCTCCATATAGTTAACACGGAAAAGAATTCAGGCGTCGTTCATAAATTGGAAAGTTAACGTGACAGAGTAAAAGGTATGATTTTTTCTTTTCTAAATTTTTAAAGGAAGCACAAGTGTGGTTTAAATAACGGAACTATTAAAATATCAGCTATCTAAAGTCTGGGATTACTTCCAATGAGTCAAAATCCATTTTATATTTTCTATTAAATAAATGTTTCAATTTTGGCATTGTGTTAATTATTTAGTTTACATTCATAGTAATAATATTATTTAACTTTATTTTAATGAATTTACATACTATATGTAACTCAAAAAGTAAATAAGCGAAAAACACAAAAGCATAAATGCTTTTTATATATATATTATATATATATAAATATATAATATACATTTTGCTTATATGCATATATATAAATTGCTATGCTTTTAAGATTTGTATATAATATATATATATATATATAATTGATATAGAGCTCTCTCTCTATATATATAACTATAAAATCAAAAAAAGAAACCTATAACACTAATTTAAGGTTACAAAGCTTATGTAATTATTCATTTTATCAGCCTAAGATAGTGTTTTCATAGTCTTTTAAATACTTTTTAATACTCTTTAAAATTAGCTTAGAAAAATTTTGTAAGTAGGGTTGTTCAAAATTTTCTTGCCTTTTTTTGCCAGGTTAAAATACAGGGAAATACGTATGAAGCAGAAACATAATTAAAAAATTAATAATAATTCGTTCCTGTTACCGCATTCTTCGTTTCCTAAAACAAACTAAAAACTTTAAAAAATTAAACTGATAAACAAAGCAAAGAAATCTTTTAGAATTTTTCTTATTCTCTCCAGAACAGAATTAATGCTTACAATCGAAACAAATTTATACTCAGCTATTTATTACGTTTATTTTTCATGTCTCAGAATTTTGAATCTGCATAAGAAGTTTTTATTAAAGTCGTTATTTATTTAAAATTAATGTTCATTTTATATACATAAAGCTCTGTTATAGAAAGCATCATATACTTCTCGTTTTCTTATATTTTTGAGACAGAGAAGAAACCCGTTTTCACTGAATTCAAATAAAATAGTCTAAAGTGCATAAATTTTTAACCACTCAATAAATAGTACATGGTCCATTAAATAATGAGAGTGGGATACGTAAGCTAGTATTGAAATTTGCACAAAAATTTACATTTATGAAGCAAAAAATGCAATCATAAACTCAGAATAAATAAGAACGTTAGTAATTTGTTCCGCTTTTGATCTGTTAAAATGTATGCTCTCATTTTATATAAATGTTAGCTATGTATTCTCAAAACGGAAATACCACGTATATCAGGAATTTTATTATCATAATCTCATCAACATTTTAATATAACTTATACGCACGAATAATTATTAAGTTTACTTTATTCTGTCGTCATTTGCTAAGGAACTAGTAGTTAGTTTTGAATAGTTCGAGTTTTTGTAAAAATTAAAAAAATTTTTTCTCAGATTTTTACCCGGAAATTTTAATCTAAGTCGTTTTGTCAGAATATCCCCTTATCGCGATGTAAATCCAATTAGACTTTTGTCTTTGAACTGCTTGCAAATAAGAAATTAAGATTTCAATCATAAATTTGAACTATTGAAGAAGTCCTTTCTAATAACTATAAATGATTTTAACACTTACCATGTAAAATTTCGTAGAGCTCTTGAGCTTCAATTAGATGTTCAGTGTGGAAACAGGAGAACAGAGTTCCTCTCGGCAACCTGCCCAACTTCTTCAGCCGTACATCTCTCTCCTCTGGGGGTAACACTGACCTGGTCAAAGATGTCAGATGTTCAAACAAAGGAAGAATGCGGTGCTGTTTGTCCTGAGCGGGCATGTTGCTATGAAGAGAATATTTCCAGACGAGATCCCTTCCAGACAAAACTTCAGAGGCTACTGCCGTGTCATGTGGCCTATTCGTTTATATATCCCTCTCACAAGTCCCGTTCGGAGAATTGTTTAGAGTATGAACATTAATAAGATAAGAGTATCGAAAAGGTGCGGGGGAGAGAGAGAGACAGACAGAAAGGAAAAAAAAAATCACCCTGCATCCTGCCATAAGAAATTCATATAGAAAAAAATCACATTCGTCCACAATGGGTGGAATTCTAAGAATTTCCTTAATGTTATTCAAAGTAGTTTCAAACGAAAACTAATCGTGGACATCAGCACCAGCAACCGGATATCTAATCCAGATAAGATTCATGGGCTTAGCTAGTAAATCTATTTTTGATAACTTCCGTCTCTTTTTAGTGCTGTATTACGATGATACAATCTCAGAGATATTATGTAAAAAAAAGGGAATAGTTAGATAATTCTCTTACATAGGTGATTACGCGAAGCAGATAATTACGCTGTCTTTTTTTCCACTTTCTACCATAAAATAAATGCGGATTTATTATAAAAAATTTGCCAATTTTGTAGTGTGACCTCATATGAAATTGTTTCAATCAAATTTTTCGATATGTTTAAGCTGACAACAGACTAAATATACTACATATTTGTTTTCAGCAATATTTTAATAAATCTTCGGTGGTTATAAAGTTAAAAACTTCGTCGTGTTTAGATTTCCATTTGCAGTAAATATTCTTTTAATATACGTGGGATGAAATATTAAGCACTGCATTTCTGTTTTTATTAAATGCAAGACTACTATATAAATACCTTTGCAATTACTTAAAACAGAACATAATCAAATGTGCAGTTAATTCTTGTTTGCGAATGAATTGATTCTTGTTTGCGCGAAATGCGAATTTCAAAGGCGCAGATCCCCTAATAATGGAAAATATTTTGAAAATATCAGCAGGCAAAATACTAAGTAACAAATCTTTGGATGTAGTGAATGTATATAATGCATGCGGAAATGAGTCTATTTTCCCACTTTCTACCATAAAATAAATGTGGATTTATTATAAAAAATTTGCCAATTTTGTGTGCACGTAAACGCTTGTATCCTCCATTAGGTACAAACGGATGTGACAGAAATCTGAATAAATGCAAAGATAAATAATCACAGCTGCACAAAATTAACTATTGCATGTATTGTGCAGTTTTAATGATTCTAAAACACCTCCTGCCGTTAGTATAAAGGTTAGCTCGGGCATTATGACGCTGGTCATCATCCCTACCTGAACAGTTCGTGAATTCAGTAAACTGAGCATTACTAGGATAAATTTCATCTTCTGGGATTTGCGATTATTTTTCATTGTATTCAGAGATTGCAAATCGATGCTGCAAATCTTAAAATATGTGGTGAGTTCCATGCGAAATGTAATTATAATGGAGAGATGAAAAAAGTTAAGGAAAAAATTGAAAGATATTTTTAATGCAGCAGTGTTTCAGAGACAATATTGTGAATACAAATGTAATGTTCTACGCCATGTGATTCATCTGTTTGTAGGATTATAGGTAAGTTATATGGCGCATACAGTCGTATCGATTGTATTTACATTGCTATTTTAAAACGGTCATGTTGCCTGCGCTTTGTTAGAAATACATAAACCTTTGTGCCTGAAAATAAAACTTTAGCCTACTATATTGAAATAATACAGTATCTAATACATATAACATTCAAATTATATACGCAATTTCCTATTTATGTTTCCCATAAGCCTTCTGGTCAACAGCAGTTTTGGAAAAACAAATCTTACACGCCGCGGGTTTCCATCTACTCAGTATAATAAATATAACGCATGCTTTAGTTACATACTCCTAACCTTCCCGTTATTAAAGTGAGTTTTGTATTTCTTTTATTGAAAAAAATCTATTTGCTACGTACTGAAATTAACTCCAGAACTCTGGGAAAAATTAAAACTTAAAGACATAAAATAGCTCAAAATTGTCATTACTCTCAAGTTTAATACATGTTAAATATCAGTTAAACAGTAGAAAATATTTCTTTTCGATTTTAACAAAATCTTGCAAACTGTGTCTGGGAAACTGAAAGAAAGAGTTGCATACTATTCCATGGTTAGGGATTAGTCACTCTTTAACGTTACGATATTGAATGATTCCCAAAAAAAACATTCAGCTGTTAATGATTAAATTTTTATGTACTTAAGGTGTTAGCATATCCGCCTTAATAGAAATCACCAAATCTTAAGAATGTGTCATGCGCGTAACAATTCTGCAATTTTAACAAGCAAAGTATAAACAAGATACTGCTTGTTGTATTCCGTTTCGACGGTTTTTGTAGTCAAATCGTGATATTTTTTGTTCTAAAATCAATTTTAAGATAAGTGCTTGTAGCTATTGCTTGCAATGGAAGAAATTGCAGAAACTTTTCTGCAGGAATACATTAAGCAAAATCACTAATTGCTTTGAATCAGGAAAAAAGAAACAAAAAACCGCTTGATTTGTTTATTATTAGGTTTATTGACTGATTTTCGTTAACATAAGATATATGTATAATTAATATGTTTTAAAATTATGAGTTATTATTATTTTCCTTCTGTAAAAAACTGCCAAACTGCGCCAAGAGGATCGCATTAATGCGTAAGTACTAATTTTTATTATTAATTTTAGCGAAAAAATATTAAATCCTATTTAAACCACTGTAGATTATTAAGTAAGACTAATACGTCGCATAAGTTTCCCTGCTTCAGAAGTGAACAATTACTTCATAACAAGGTGGTCGGCAGAAGTTTAGTTATTTTTCAAATTGATTTCTATCAAAAACTATAAAAATATACCTGCACGATACTTGGTGGTACATGAACGGTGCAAATATTCCTATAGACCAATCAGCTTGCTCCCTGCTCTTGCTAAATTATTTGAACGTATTATTGTAAATCGAGTTAAAAACTTCATTGAAAGTCACAACTTGCTAAAGAGTTACCACTTTGGCTTCAGACCGGATCATTCTACAGTTCACCAAATCACAAGAATTACAGAAATTATTGGACAACATCTAAATAAGAAAGAGTCTGTTGCTGCCCTAGTTTTGGACATCGAGAAGGCTTTTGACAAGGTTTGGCATGCTAGCCTCCTTGTCAAAATGATAAATTATCAATTTCCCCCGGACCTTATTACCACAATATCCAGCTACCTGGACAGGGGACAGGTGAGACCAGGGTCCGGACACCCGGGCGGCTTTCACTGACTATTCGGGTATCGTCCGAATCCCGCAACTGTCCAGAAAAAGAATATTGCAAACAGGGGCAGATCGTGGAAAATAGGTATTGCGGATTCCTACAATAACAGTGCTTATTATGCAATATAAAATACTTACATCAAAAATTGCTGTTACTATGTTGAATTATCACAGTAGTAATGCATTATACATTAATAATGCACTATTATAATAGTCGACTCAGAGACGATAAATTAATACGTGCAATAATAAAATTTCCTAAACTCTACAGACATTGCAGAGCGGTATAAATGCGCATTGTATAACCTAAAGCTATATATATTATACATTAATATTACATGCATACATACAATAGATTAATACACAGATAACATAAAAAGTACATTTTATATATTAATATACTATACATTAATAGTGCAATCGATATATTAAAACATACAATAGTAAAAGTACCTAAACTCTACAGACATTTTGGAGAGCAATACCAGTACGCATTACGCAACTTATAGCTACACATACACATGTCCATTACATTGATACATACATAAAATGAAAGGTGCATTCGATATATCAATGCATTAACATAATATACATTATACATTAATAGTGCACTCGATATATTAATACATACTATAATAAAATTTACTAAACTCTACAGACATATTGCAAAGCTGTAACAGTGCACATTATGCAGCTTATAACTATATACATTAATAATACATGCACACATACATTATATTAACACATACGTTACATAAAAGGTGCATTCGATACATTAATAGGTGCACTGAATATATTAATACATACAATAATAAAAATTTCTAAACTCTACAGACATATACCAGTGCAAGTTGTACAGCTTATAACTATATACATCGTTATACATTATACAATAATAGTACATGCATACATACATTGCATTAATACCGACATAAGATAAAATGGCATTTCCCTATTCGATTAGATTGAGCATTAAAGTTATGCATTGACATTGCATTAACTGGTATAAAGATATTAATATCTATATAAGAGTTAGGACTCCTGAAACTGAACTCTACAGTGCGGAACACGGACTAGATGGGACCGTGTTCCGCACTGTAAAGTTCAGTTTCTTAGCGCTTCGAGTTTTAGCATCATTAGTCGTATTTTCCTCTGTCTTTAAGGTTGCTTGACTATAAATCTTTTGTAGGCGACTGTATTTATAGTTGGCAGAGCTGGGTGGAAGTCTCGTTTAAGTGGGCATGATGTCAGATAATGATCAGGCTTGCCCACACCTCCACATGCACAGACATTGGAAGTTGTTAGGTTCCTATCATAAAAGTAACCGGGAAATGGCCCGTGTCCAGTTACGAAGCGCGTTATATGCGGGTCTGAAATTAACCTGTCTGTACTGACCCTGTGGAAGAACTCGTATGTGCGTCTGCCCTGTGGAATGGAATCCCAGTCCTCTTGCCAGTGGATTAGAGCATCCTTCCACGTTGTCCTTTTAATGCTGCTTTTGGAAAGCAGCACCTCTATTTGCTGCTCATCTATGTTCTGCGCGGCCTCCTTTGCAAGTAAGTCCGCCTCATTTCCCTGGTTCCCAAAGTGAGCTTTAATCCAGGATATGTGGAGTGGAGATGCCGACGATCTAGCTCTCAGGAGTGCTTGGATTTCTGCAATAAGTGGGCTGGGATGATAAGGATTCCTTATTGCAAAGATGGCCGATTGGCTGTCGGTGTAAATGCGAAAAGAATTTTGGCTCTTAGCGGCTGCATAAGACATCGCATGTTTCAGGGCTGCTGCTTCCGCCTGGAAAACAGAGTTGTTTCATTTCAGGTTACCTTTCCATGCTGCAAAAGTATCCCCTTGCCTCTTGGCGATGAAGCTGCACTCCACCTGGTTTCCAAGCTTCGAGCCATCTGTATAAATACATACTTTTGAGTTATCTTTTCTGCAGGCAATGCAGTCGGTATGCGTATGCACTCCTCTGCCATATTCTGCGGTATGAACTAGTCGTACTGTTCTTTTTTCTTCAAAGTGTGCATGGATATAATGCTGCCCCCTGTAAAAAGACTGCTGTCTTAATAAGGTGACATGCGTAATCACTGCCTCTTGTTCCGCTTTAATGTGAAGGGGCATTATTCCAGCGAGCACTGCTGCCACCATCGTTGCGGTTGTGCGGTATGCCTTTTTAATAGAAAGTGCATAAGGTCTTTGTATGCTGCTTTCAATTTCCTGGAGCTCATTGGAGTTGCCTAGACTGCTGATGCGTGTGTTGCTATTTTTTCAATTACCGTACAGTACAGGATCTTCAAGATGCGCGGTCGGAGACCCCAATCTGCTCCTTGCATCCTCTTTAGATTTTTAGCGATAGCGTGGGTCTTCAGTCTCACCTCCTTTAGGTGCGGGATCCAGGTGAGTTTCGCGTCCATTGTGAGACCCAGACTGGACAACTCGGTCGGCGAGGCAGCGCCCTACCTGGCTAATTGGCCTTAACGGGCATTAGTGCCGCCCCACCGTCCTTACAATCTACCATGTTGCGACCCCACAGAGCAAGGGCAGACAAAGGCAGTACCAGTACTGTCCCTTCCGAGCTTTACCCTGTCCCGAGAGCCCTCAGGCCTTCTGTGAAGTCTGTTATTATACCCCCGTGGTTGAGATTGCCTACAGTACTTCCCAGGGATTCCCATGAGTCAACCCCCGGGATGAAAGGCCCTGATTCAACCGAACTGGACAGACACACCAGACGATAGATCTCCGACCCAGGTCGATATTCTAGAGGACCCATACACAGTTTAGATATCTATGGTCCGAGGGACCTCATCCTCGAGATCGCAACCCCCGCAGTCCCCGCCCGGCTTTTACAAAGCATTGGGCAGAACGAAACGTTGCTAAATAAATAATAACGTTTAAACGTTGCTATGTTAAAACTTTGTCACCTTGCCTCCGGGCACCACAATGTAGGTTGGAAAAACCTACATTGTTGTGGGGGATCTGTCCACTCTGTCAATCACCTCCACGAGAACTGAATGGGGTCAAACCCCCGGGGACTCGGTCAACGATCTGACAGACTGGACAGTAGAACTTTTCAGGTCAAAATTAAAGATACTTTATCCAGCAAGAAAATTATTCAGGCCGGTCTTCCGCAAGGAAGTTTACTTTCGTCAATATTGTTTTGTCTTTACATCAACGATATGCCAAATATCCCAGATACTACTTTTGCTTGCTATGCAGATGACACTGCGATCATGTGCAGTTCTATCAGCCCCATCAGAGCAAGAGATAAGCTTCAGAAAGCCGTTAATATCCTCACCAAGTGGTTTTTCGCTTGGAAGATCAAACCAATGCAACTAATTCCCAAGTCATATTTTTAGATACAACCTCAAAGAAGTGAACATAACACTAGATGGCGTCACAATACCCACAGTTAAAAATATTAAATACTTGGCTGTAATTCTTGACGATAAGCTTACAGTCAGGCCGCATATTATGTATACTCGTGAAAAAGCTCATAAAGCTTTTAAGTCTATTTATGCCTTAATAGAGAGACATTCAAAATTACAAAGACAGTTCTCTATCTTCAAGCAATAAGACCGATTTTATTGTACGCAGCACAAGCATGGGTCGCTACAGCCAGATCAAGTAGCCAGATTTTGCAAAGATTGCAAAATAAATTTCTTAGAACTATTACAGACTCACCGTGGTTTGTACGAAACACTGCAATGCATCGTGAAATAAAAATCAAACCATTAGATAGCGAGATCTTAATTGCCTCGCATAATTTCTACACCAAATGCGATAATCGCGAAAAATGAAGCTGTGCGTAGCATAGGAGATTATGGCTTTGCAGTCATTCAACGCTGCAAAAGACCAAGAGCGATACACCATAACGAGTTGTGGTGATCGATGTACATAGTGTATATAGTGTTTTTTTACTTTTCATTATTTACTCTTATTTATCTTTACTTAATTATTGCTGGCAAAGCGATATGGACTTTGCGCCCCCGGGGGCAAGACTTTGATTTGTATTATGTGTAAAAAATTTTCAATGATTGGCCAGTGCATCTATGCTCCGCCCACTTCTGTTATATGCCTCAACTACTACGCCCACGATATTCTGTTATCTTCAAGACACGGAGGAAGGAAGACGCTACAGCCGTAACACCTACTGTCTGTCTATGGTAAGAACAGCTCTCGCCAGTTTGTCTGCAGCTGTCTGTTGCCGTAGAAACGAGCCCTAACCCATTTTTCGTAGGGGTGTCTTGAAGACTTACTTCTGAGTTTGCCACCTTGGCGCATTTAAAGATGATTTGGCGATATTCACATTTTGTTTTAGTTTCAAGTAAAATGCTTGTTGACCCTTTGCGTCGACCCCGACATCCAATTTCCGAAAATGAAATTCGATGGCGTAGATAAAGCTTTTGCAGTCAAGAAACAGTCTTTGATTTTGCCGTGTGAGGTACAAGTCGCTAAATTTGTAATCCCTCTAGATGTACAATGAGTAAAAATAAACTTGTAGGGAAAATAATTTAAAAATCCGTGTTTTATTTTTGAAGAAAAATTTTAATTTCGACATTTAAAAAAATCATGCTATTATTTTGCTTCTTTTTGTTTATTTGTTTGCTTGCAAAATCATAGATGACATCTTAGAAATCTACTTGATTGCCCCATTCTCTTTATATAGTATAGACGCACTTCATAAATATAAAATAAATTTAATTTTATAGTTCTCCCCTCTAGCTGATCTACCGTGAACATTCAAAGCAATTTCTTCAGTCTTTAAATGACGTTCTGCTATGTTTTTATTTCAAAATTTTCTGTTAATTTATTGCTTGTGCTTTAATAATGACTAAAAATTTCATCATAAAATGTATATAGAATCATCTTGAAAGTAAAAGCATTTTTTTACATACCCATGCTCTCAATAAATACTTTTTGCGAAACATTTTCTTCTTTTCTCATACCTTTAAACTAAACCAAAAGCTGGTTAATTTAATGGCGGAAGGAAGCGAAGGTGAATTAAAATCAAAAACTGCTTTTTCCTTAATTACCAGTGGTTTGGGTTGGTTTATATGATTACGGAAAGCCTCCAGGCCTAAGAGGAGGGATGCCTCCATGGAGGGCTTGCTAAGGGAAACTGGCTGTGCGCCCAAAACCGTATGCCAAAATTTCTTAAAAGTTAAATTGCTGTCAATCCATGTTTCATCGATGTAAACGATGTGGCGTTCGTTCACTTGCTCTGAGTTTTCTCATTTCGCGTAAATAATTGTTCCTCCAAAATACAATGTGAGGTCTTTCGATAAGATTTTTTTTTCTACGCATTCCAACGAAAATTCATTGAACACAAAACTTTGCACAAAGAGTCCTTTTGCCACGGGAAGTCTAATTTTGCCTCAAGACAGGCAGTAATTTCCGCACAGATGGCACTTTCTTTTCTTTGATGTAAAAGTCTTGTATTGTCTGCCGTAAAACGCATTTGTCAAAATCGTAAATTTCACATTTATGATTAGCAGGGCTTTTACATTTCTTTCCAAGTGTATTCAGAAGTTTATTTTCACCCATTGTTGATACTTCGCTCTTCAAAACTTAAGGAAGAGGAACTACTAAAGAGTTCGCCGAAACTTCAGAAGCGCAAAATTCTGCGACACTATACACGATTTGACGTGACTGAGACTTTAAAGGTTGACCTTTCTTAAACTGGAAGGGCATTTTAAAAAATTGGCGATTAACAAAGCACTACGAAAATCAAGCTAAATAGAAGCGAATTTGAGCAAATGCTAGCACAAATGATATAACAACGAGAATAAAAAGAGCTAATAGTAATAATATAAGGCTTAAGAAAAGATGCGTGCAGCTGGAATGAAGCCGAGAAGACGAATGATAAACTTCCCTTAAGCCAACAGTCGCCAAAAACAAAATAACAATAAAGCAACCCTTGGTTCGTCCCTATTTGAAATATACTAGCCCTGTTGCTATAGCGACCGCCACTCGCCAGACACCGTGGCGGGAGCTGTTCTTACCGTAGACAGACAGTACGAGGAGAAAGTTATGCCAAAGTTTGTATGCTACAGATATGCTAAATTGCTTTTACGATGTAAGTTATGCTTCAGATATGCTAAATCGCTATTTTGCCCAAGTTATGCCACTGTTACATACTGCCACAATGGATGTAATTCAGCACTTCAAGTTTGTTCCAACATTTGGATTTGTTTTTCACTTTTAGCATATCTACTAAGGACAGATATAGATAGGAAAGACTTCAGGGTCGTATACCTATTAAATAAGCAAAGACCTATGATCTATGCAAATATTCCTAGTTAAAAATATTGCCATCTTTCCGGTAGGTGGCACACTCAAAGAATTGCATTTCATTTATTTAATTCTTTTACAATTTACATATATATGCCCCAGATTGAGGTTAATTATCATAGCTTATATAGCGAAATTTAGCCTTCAGTTTAAAACAAAAAGTCCGAAATTTGAAAGTAAAATATCCCGATTGTAAGATGCTTTACCAACAAATTCTCTTTAAGAATTTGATGAATATTTGATCTTGTTTTATATCATGAAATAGTCTAAGTTGTTTGGACTCTTTACTAACAATCAGTATGGTATATTATCTTCATGAAACGAGAAGCGCATTTGACCATTTATGTGGTTTTTGAGGTTAATAATTTTTTTTTAGAAGAAGAAGCGATTCTTTTATAATCAACTGTCATAATAAATATTTTTTTCGGTGTATGAACAGATTGAGCTACAATGTTTTGTTTCGGTTTCTCTGGATGTAGGCAAACCCTGATTCACGTCTGTTGAGGACTCCTTAGTAGTCGAGTGTTAAGAGAGCTAAGTAACGATAATTTACGCTGAGTTCGAACTTGGCAAATGGATTGGTTTCATGGTTCTTCTCCCTTTCGTAACGTGAATACCAGCCAATTTCCCTTAGAAAAGTCGTCTACCAACACATCCCGCTGTTGAAGTCAGATAGACCTCATGAGCTATGTCTAAAATAAAACAAGCGACTTTTCTTGAGCTGTATATACAGATATCAGAAGAAGCTATGCCAGCACCTCTGTAGTACCATAGGTAATTGAGATATTGTTGAACCTAGCTAACTGTTAAACTTCCACCCCGAATGGAACTCCAAGGAAGAACACCCCGCGGGGCGGTCCGTCAGTCTTTTACCCCTCTTCATCTACCAACAACTTCTCGAGTGGATTTTGGCGAGTGCCCTATTATTACCACACAGATACTTTATGCTTACAGACATCCATGTCTTCTACCGGATTCGCAAACCGGGCCCTTCAGTAACGCGGCAGTCAGCGACACTATTCACTATCGCATCTGGGCGGCAGGGCTGTATATATATAGTGATTTTTTTCAAGTTCCATCGACTGAAAACTTCTTATTTTATTAAGTGAATATGGACGTTTAGAGTACTCGATTAAAAACTGATTTTACGTGTATTCACAATATTTTGAATTTGGTCAGGTATCAAATCATGAAAAACTCAGTTCCTAAGAACTTTGCTCATCTTTTAAATTCTCTATTAATTTGAACTGAGTGCATTTATTTTAAAATATCCAAGTACAAGACAAGCGACATTTAACTGTGTTATCATGATCCATCCACCTCCAACTCTAGCTCGGTCGATTCGTTCCAGTCGTGGATAATGACAAACATTATCAGCTCTTCGATCTGATATGCCGTATATTCCTTCCTCGAATGATGTGATCCGATTTTTGATTATTTCTGTTTTGAACATCTGATTATTTAACGCTTTCTTTTGACTTCCAGCTATAATTACACTGTAATCTAAAGACTTCTAAAAAATGAATTGCTCAGTGTCACTAATCGAAAAGAAAGTAAATTTACTTTTGCACCCATCATTTAATTTATAGTGTGAGACATTCAAATTAAATATACTTCGTTCTTTCCTTTTAAAAAACTGGAGCTATAACATTAAGCCGTAATGAGAAGATATATATATATATATATATATATATATATACACATGTGGGATTTTAAATCCATAGCTTAATATTTTTCCTCGCGCGCTGTTTAATTTTTAGCTGTTGACTGCACGAGTGAAATTAATAGAACTCTCGCCACTTTGTTTTATGAGAGGATGATGCAAGATGATGTAGATGTCGTATTAATAGATGTAAGATGATACAGATGTTGTATTAATAGATGAACTAATAGATGTATTAATGTTTTATTAAATGTGTTTTGTTTGAACATGAATTGTGATTTCGAAACTAAAGAACCCACATACATATATTTGTAAAATAAAAAGTATGTAAATAAAAATTTAAATTTAAATTAACGGTAACCATTTAATTCTCCCTCTCTGTTCTAAAAATCGTAATAACTTCTCTGGATTGCGTTATTTCTAGATCATTCCATCTTGCGTTGAGTTAGACAATTTTGAGTTGAGATTAGAAAGTCTGAATAGAGAAAAATCGAGAACTATGTCTTTAATGATTTGTATTTCGTCGTACCTTTCATGAATGAATTTTTTTAGTTTGATAAGGAATTTATTAGTACAAGAGTGTAATCAGTTGAGAAGTTTCTTGGGGAAGTTTTCTGAGTCAAAAAAAAAAAAAAAAAAAAAAAAAAAAAAAAAAAAAAAAAAAAAAAAAAAAAACATTTCAATTGTTTTTTCAATGCAAGTGTATCCAAAGTGGATAAAAATCTAGCATTATTTTTTAATTTGCTTCCTCTTTTTCCTCTTTGTGTTTTGTTGCTGTAAAGTTTAAATTGGCTGAAAATGGATTGTTTTAGATGTATCTATGTGACTATGTATATAAGTGTTAAGTCCATAGGTATAAAGGGAACGTTGTTCAAGTATATAGAGTGATTCCTGAAAAATTCGTGTTTTGTGATTGGGTATTATATCTAATATCTGAAGTTAAATAGAGTTGAAGTCTTGATGTTTAAAGTGCTCGAATTCTTGAATTCAACAAATGCAATATCATTATCTCATTTATATAGAATTTGGAATTTTAAATTATGAAAATTCATTTGTAAACAAATTGGTGTATTTAATTATGGCAAAGCACACTAGGGCTATCTGCCTAAGGGGAGGGATGCCTTCGTGGAGGACTTCTTAAGGGAAACTGGTTCATATACACGTTACACATGGGGAAAACCACGAAAAGGCCCATGCAGCCAGCCTGTTCGCGGGATTCGAACCTCGGATCGAACTACCAGTGTTCAGCGACTTTACCGCTCAGCCGTTGGTGGGCCTCCAATTGTAAACAAATAAAAGATTAATTATTGCTGCGAACTAATTTGCAATATCATTCAAATTCAGAAAGCATATATAAATTAATTGCAAGCATCTAAATACATGAAAAATATTTAATAATCCAAAGATTAATCCTAAAAATTTTAAAGAATTTTTAAGACTATATTAATTTGCATAAAGTGAATAATTGTTGAGCAGGCAGGAGACAGATCTTTTCAAGGGGAAGTTGCCTCCAAACCTAACTCTTCAATTATTCAATTCGTGTTTCGTCAACCATATAGGCATAGGAGGAAATTTAGTTAGAAAATCCATTTGGGAAACAAAATTATTAATTAAAAATTTATTGCTAATGTAATTAAGAGTATAAATTCAAAAGTAATTTAGAAATGCTTGCCTGTACAGTTACTTCCCAGACACGAAATATGCATGTAAACCGAAATGAACTATCTAAACATTATAAAAAATGAAAAATAATAATATAAAATAAATTACAATCTATAAAAATAATACAAAAAAGGCAAGTAAATAGTAGATTCAGTTTAACTTACCTTGTAACAACATATTTTTATGCGCGGGAGAATAGTGTAGGCTTTGCTAAACAATGTGAGGTTGAGTAGTTTGTTGTTGCTAACTGTGTAAATACAGGACGCTGACACTATGTAAAGTTGAGTATTGTTAAGCTGCTACCTGTGTTATCTATTGTAAAAACATAGCTGCAAACTCCAAAGTAATGTAAAATGTAGGATCTGTGTGAAAAAAGAAATTGTTTCTAACTGCAATAGGATTGTAGAAATGTAAGTAATAAGTGAAAAATGATGTTAATGTTCCTGTAAAAATGTTTCCAGATTTTGAATTAAAGTCCAAAAAGATTAAAAAATTGATAAAAAATGTTTTTGGAAGATTTTTTTTAATTTAACTAAATTTATTAAAACTGAAGTTAAACTATAGTTAAACTAAAACTTTAACTAAATACTAGCCATAGCTTAGGAAAATTAGAAAAAGATAAAAATCTTCACTCAATTCGGGCTATAATTGAGACTTTTGAAAAGAGGAAATTAATAAAAGGAAATTTCCTTCATTAATAAAAGGAAAGAATCCAGTATTGATTAAGAGAAATATACATATTTACAAGAAATTAATCCATTAACTCTTCAATAGCCCCTATTATCGTCCAGTTAAGGTTTAACGTTATCATAGCATAAAGACTAAAAAAATTAAATAGAAAAGTTAACGCCTGCCTTTTTAATATAGAAATTAATAAATTGCATAGGGACCTGGTAATTTACTTGACAATTAATTAACTTTATTATTTCTTCTTTTAAATCTTCTGTTTCAGTACCTATATTTTTCGTTCTAATAATTTCGTTATAAAATGTGTTACCTACTACTTTTTTAGAAATATTAGAGTTCCAATTAATTAGTTTGATAGTCTCAAATTGAAAATCCCTCCTTTTATCATATAATTTAATTTTGCTGTGTTTAATTATTAGCAGGTCAAGGTATTCAATAATATCTTGATTCGTATTAGTCTATTAAGTGTTAAACTATCTAAATAATTTTGTATTGTTCAATAGCAGAATCATTGTTGAAAATCATCATCAGTGTATCTAAAAGTATTTGCAAATAACTTTAATTCATTATTATTCAAACCTAGTTGGAATTTATCTTCATTAGCAAAAAGAAATAGATTATGTATTTGTGTAGAACTGTTTGCTCCGATTGGACTTCCTTTCACCTGCTGAAAGATCATTGTTGAAAATCATCATCAGTGTATCTAAAAGTATTTGCAAATAACTTTAATTCATTATTATTCAAACCTAGTTGGAATTTATGTTCATTAGCAAAAAGAAATAGATTATGTATTTGTGTAGAACTGTTTGCTCCGATTGGACTTCCTTTCATCTGCTGAAAGATCTTATTATTAAAATTAATGTACAGTATACTCCCGATTATCCGCGGAATTGGGTGGCGCGGCCGCCGCGGATAACAAAAATCGCGGATAATCCGAAAAAAGCTAAAAACGGGTATAGCAAAAGAGAAAACAGTCATTCCAACTTTGAAAAATCGTTTTATGTACAATAAACGTAAAATAAACAGCAGGAAATGTATAAGTAACGCTTAATATTTTAGTACATCACTCAAAACTAACCTAAAATGCATTTTGTTAATGAAAACGGAAAAGTGCTTTGTACTTACGAGAGGCGTCAAGGATACACAGAAAAATTAATACATATGTACTGTTTTAATACTGTAATGCATTATGTAATTACAAAACATAACTGTAAAACTACACCTTTTTGAAGAAATCAGTCATTGCTTCTTGGCTTTGGAAGCATTTTCTCTTGATCCGAGATTGCATTTTTCGTAGCATAAGTTTCTCGGCCAACTCCGCGTGGTCTTGTTCTTCCAAACAGCTCAGCAGTCCGTCGACTTGTTGCAAAGCCCCTTCGTGAGTCTTCCGCATCTGCACAATGGGCTCTTCTTCGCCTTCACTTCGCTGTCCTTCATTCTTGGTCTCTCCCCTTGCTTTCTTCACAATTTCGTCATCTGTCAAGCGTTTGAAGCCAGGTTCGTTGACGTCACACTCCAACAACTCGTTAATATTTTCAGCATCGACGTTCTTACCTCCCGGAACTGTTTTCACCATATCGGCAAGAGTTGCCGTGGGCGTGTCTACATCTTCATTCTCTTCTTCACAACTCAAAGGGGTTAGGTTGTTGTTGGCTTCAACATTAGGCACGAGTTTTCTCCATGATTTTATGAGGGTTGACGGTTTCACTGAGTCCCATGCAGATGCAATGTCGTAGATGTTGCCAAGATTGTGTAGTGTTTCCAAAACTCTTTCAGATCATAACCTTCTTCAGTTTTGATCATTAGCAGCTTGGTTGGGTGTGTTCTCTTCATTGTTGCTATGACTCCTTGGTCCATGGGTTGGATTAGCACAGTAACGTTTGGAGGGAGAAACTTTGAAAAAATTTGTCCATCAGAAAACTTTAGCACGCTTGTTGCTGGGTGAGAAGATGCGTTTTCGAACAATAGCACAGCCTTTTTCAAGCAGGTTTTTTCGATTTAAGATGTTTACGCACTTGAAGAACAAAGATTTTTTTCGAACCATTCTTGAAAAGTATTTCGGTTCATACATCCTTTTTTTTTTTTTTTTTTTTGGTTAAAGTAAACAACGGGCAAATTTTCTATCCTTGTGCCTTTGAAAGATCTCGGTTTTTTTTACTTTCCAATGACAACAAGTCTAAGTTTATGTCTACTGGTAGCGTTACTGCAAGACATGATAGTGATCATTTCCTTGCTGCTTTTATGACCCGCCGCTTTATTTGCACTTTCAAATGCTAAAGTGCATGTGGGAAGATATTTCCACAAAAGTCCTGATTCGTGGGCATTATAAATTTGTTCAAAAGGTAGATTTTCTTTTAAAACAAATTCTTCAAATTCATGGTGGAAATCGTCGGCTGCATGTTGGTCACCACTAAGTTTCTCCCCATGAAGTCCAATTTCTCGAATTCCATGTCGCTGCTTAAAACGAGTCAACCAGCCAGAAGGCACATCAAAATTTCCTT